GCAGAGAAATTATACACATGGCTGCTGGTCAATAGCAAGCAGAGAAATTATACACATGGCTACTGGTCAATAGCAAGCAGAGAAATTATACACATGGCTACTGGTCAATAGCAAGCAGAGAAATTATACACATGGCTACTGGTCAATAGAGAAATTATATACATGGCTACTGGTCAATAGCAAGAAGAGACATTATACACATGACTACTGGTCAATAGCAAGCAGAGAAATTATACACATGGCTACTGGTCAATAGCAAGCAGAGAAATTATACACATGGCTACTGGTCAATAGTAAGCAGAGAAATTATACACATGACTACTGGTCAATAGCAAGCAGAGAAATTATACACATGGCTACTGATCAGTAGGAAACAAATAGATTATATTCTTTAAGACTGGTCTAGGATTTAGTAGAACAAATAAATCCAAGGCCCCCCAAGAGAATATTTTTTATCATTGTGCACCTCATAAGTGAATAGTAGCCATTCTTAAGTTTACACAACTTCATGTGAAAGTTTTAAAAAATAGGGTAAATCCAAATAACTATGTGAGGAAAAGCGAGTGACTACTGAATGAATGAATGAATGAATGAATGACAATACTTACAGCATCCAACTTGACATTTGTGATGTCTGACACATTGACCAGAGAGAATTCTTGTTGTAAAGTCTGTGGTTGACCAGCAGTCACTGTAGTGGCTGATGAAGACACATTTTTAACCTTCTCATTTATTTCTTCCACAGCACTCCCAGTCTGTTCTTTGTCTGATCCTAGAGAAGTTTTCTCTATGGCAACCCCACTGATGCTGCTGTGTCTTGAGCCTGGAGATATACTCACCATATCTCTGTGTACATCATCAATGAACTCTTCTGCACCACAAAGCTGTAAAGATATACAGTGAAACCTGTATGAACTGAACACCAAACTGAGATACAGTGAAACCTGTATAAACTGAACACCAAACTGAGATACAGTGAAACCTGTATGAACTGAACACCAAACTGAGATACAGTGAAACCTGCATAAACTGAACACCAAACTGAGATACAGTGAAACCTGTATAAACTGAACACCAAACTGAGATACAGTGAAACCTGTATAAACTGAACACCAAACTGAGATACAGTGAAACCTGTATGAACTGAACAGCATGAACTGAGATACAGTGAAACCTGTATAAACTGAGCACCAAATTGAGATACAGTGAAACCTGTATAAACTGAACAGCATGAACTGAGATACAGTGAAACCTGTATAAACTGAACAGCATGAACTGAGATACAGTGAAACCTGTATAAACTGAACAGCATGAACTGAGATACAGTGAAACCTGTATAAACTGAACAGCATGAACTGAGATACAGTGAAACCTGTGTAAACTGAACACCACAAACTAAAATACAGTGAAACCTGTATAAACTGAACACCAAAGGAAATGAGATACAGTGAAACCTGTATAAACTGAACACCAAAGGAAATGAGATACAGTGAAACCTGTATAAACTGAACACCAAACTGAGATAAAGTGAAACCTGTATAAACTGAACACCGTGAACTGAGATACAGTGAAACCTGTATAAATTGAACACCATGAACTGAGATACAGTGAAACCTGTATAAACTGAACACCAAAAACTGAAATACAGTGAAACCTGTATAAACTGAACACCAAAGAAACTGAGATGCAGTGAAACCTGTACAAACTGAACACCATGAACTGAGATACAGTGAAACCTGTATAAACTGAACACCAAAGGAAATGAGATACAGTGAAACCTGTATAAACTGAACACCGAAGAAACGGATACAGTGAACCTGTATAAACTGAACACCAAAGGAAATGAGATACAGTGAAACCTGTATAAACTGAACACCAAACTAAAATAAAGTGAAAC